ACGCAGGCGGAGGCCGATGCCATGACGGATATGAGCAAGTTTAACCCGCCCGTGTATCGGTTCGAGAAGCCTGCCAGCAGCCCGGCCGGGTACGTCGCAGAAGCCTATTGACCTGCAGACTGTTGTTGGACAGTGCTAACACGCCAGGCGCCACTGTGTAGACTGTACGACCTGGTCATGGTCAATGGCACGACTAAGCAGTACATTGCTTTGAAGGGCACCGCCGGCGAGGTTGTGTTCGCAAGCTCTTCGACCAATGGCAAAGTTGTCGGGCGGCTGATCACGACCCTGTTCAGTGCCACCTGCAAGGGCTTCCTGACGGCCCAGCAGGGCACTACCACGTACGTGTGGAAGGGCACGGCCGACGGCACGCTGATGACGGCGGGTACTTCGGCCAACGACACAATCGTGCTGCTGCCCAAGGCCGGTTTCTCCATGCCCGGTGCCAAGGCAGTCTCGCGACGTGGCAAGGCCGAGCAAGGCGATGCCCCGCGCTGCAAGAACGCACCGCAGGACGTCATTGCAGTTCTGCGCAAGGGCGCGCGGGGGAACAACCCCAACGGCTGTGGCCCCGCCAACGGCGTCGACGTGGTCCCCGACTGGAATTTCGGACGCTGCTGCGACGCGCATGATAATTGCTACGATGACTGTGGCGCCGCGTTCGAGGAGTGCAACAACAGCTTTCACGACTGCATGCACGGCAAGTGCTGGGACGTTCTGAACGGCTGGACGTGGTGGCTCTTCCCGGCGTGCTGGGGCATGGCCGACTTTTACGCGTACGTGGTCGGCACCGATCGCGGCGTGGAAGCTTTCAACGAGGCCAACGGGGAGCCCGATGCGAATGCGTCTGCCCTAGCACGGACCCCGACGGCTACAAGGTGTCGCTCTGCGAGGTGAGCAGGGATGTCGCCTCGTGCGTCGTGACGGGTGCCTTCGACAATCACAACTGCGGCGGCTGCGGGTTCACGTGCCCGTACAAGACCCACTGCGACTGGGGCACCTGCCAGTGCGACCAGGACCGGTGCGGCAACATGTGCCTGAGTCTCCTGTCGCACCCGCGCAACTGCGGCAGGTGTGGCAATGTCTGCGCATCCGGCTTCTGTTACAAGGGCAGTTGCTGGGACCCTCCCGCGGTTCCGGACCAGTGCTACGCCGTTGACGCGTTCACGAACGGCGACTTTGCCACCCGCGACATCAGCCCCCGGACCTACACCTCGCCCTGGGGTGGCGTCGGCCCAACATACAGCGACACCATCAACTTCGCCGGCCTCGGGCAGGGGATCAACCTGCAGTACCCTCTTCTTGCCTATGACTGGTGGAATGTGGTTGGCACCATTACGCTGTCGCAGGTTGTGCGCGTTTGCCCGGGAACCAGCTACGAGCTCGACTTTTGGGCCTTCCGCTTCGGAACGGGTCTCTGCAAAGTCAACGTCAAGCTCGGGAACCGCGTGCTTGCTCAAAACGCAGATCTTGTCGGCAACGCGATCGGCGAGACAAACAAGGCCACATTTGGCCCTTACCCCGTCCCCGCCTTCAACGAGGGCGACGCCGGCACTACCAAGGACGGCTACTACCTCAACGTCAAGTTCACCGTCGAGGTCAGCTGTTCTCCTAGCTCTGTCACCCTGTACGACTTCTCGCTACACACTTAGACCCGTTGAATGCCCCTGGGCCCTTGCCTCGCTGCCTCTGCTTTTCTATTCTGTATTTATTGCGTTTACATGTCTTTTACCTCGCACCTATCGTTTAACCCAACATCCCGAGCGTCGATGGACCACTCTTCTCCCCCACCCCCAGCTTCTCCTTCTTCTCCCTGCTTCTTTAACTTCCGAGTTTACGGGAGGAGAAAACAATAGTATGCAAAGATTCTTGCTGCGAATGTAGCTGTGGACTGTAATGCCTAGAATTTACGTACATGTATCCAGAACAAAAGATCAAATACCTAATTACAACATGTCGAAACGAGTGGCTCTCTATCCCACAGAAGACATCTTGTTCCCTGCTTCCTGATCCCTTTCGCGGCCTCACGACTTGGGGGTGAGGATAAAGATCTCGCCCTCGGCGCTGTTGTCGCTGCCGACGAACAGCCCACGTCCGGCGGGGTCCCATGCCGCGGCGGTGAGACGGACGCAGTTGCTCTGCGTGAGGCCATTGGCGGTGCATGAGCCCGGGCTCGGCGCGGAGAAGATGTCGTTGTACCCCTTCATGCTGTCTGCGGGGGCGACGGGGTCGTAGGAGCCGTCGGCGAGCTTGGTGAAGGGGACCTGCACGACCTTGAAGCCCGTGGCGGGCTGCCGGTCCCAGGATCCGTGGAAGGTCACGTACATGTTCTTGGCGTCGGCGTCGAACGCGTTCCAGATCGGCGCGCTATGTGCCTGGAAGGTCAGCCGCGGCACGATGGCCTTGCCGTTGCATGTCGCGTCGTTGTAGCTGCTGTTGGGCGCCAGCACAAAGTGGCTGCCCGTCTTGAGGCTCGTGCCGGTGAACGCCGATGGGTCCCACACCGAGAAGCACGTGGGGTAGCCGTACCACGCGTCTCGCGTCTTGAGCGGATCCCCGACTGTATCTTGCGTGTCAGCGGTCTCATGCGGCTCTCATGCGCGGTCCGGTACAGGTACTCCGGCACAGGTGTGTACTCACGGTTGTTGAGCTTCTCGGCCGGGTTATCCTTGTGGATGTCTCGGCGCTGGCCATTCTCTGTCCGAGTAAAGTCCTGCCCAGGGGCATAATCAATTAGCGCCTTGCCACGACAAGCGCAAAAATCAACGTGTTTTGAGGGTGCACATTCTTGCACTTACATCGCCGCTGTTCTCAACGCCCCAGACGACGCCATTCGGGTCCATGGTGAAGCCAATCTCATTCCGCAGGCCATAGCCAAACACCTCACCGTCGGTGTTGTAGTTGTACCCACTCGCAGGGGCCTTGCTCATGTCGAATATTTTGATGATGGCGCGGCCCGTGTTCTTGTCGACAGCTGCCATGTCGAAGTTGGCGTTGCTGCCGACCTGGAGGAGTACCATGTTGGGCTGCGAAGGGACGACGAGCAGGTTCCGGGTCGAGTGCACGCCCGTGGCCATGCCCTTGACCACCGTCTTCTGGTTGCTGACCTTCATGGTGGCGGCGTCGTAGCTCCACGAGTAGGCCGTCGTCTCCGAGCTAGCGTACAGCGTCTTGCCGTCGGGCGTCAGTGCTAGGCCGTGGTTAAGTTGTGTGCCTGCGATGAGCGTGCTGGTGCTGTTGATGCAGCCGTTGTCCCCAAACGAGTGCACCGAGATGCCCTTGGTGGCCTGCGACACCAGCATGTGACCCTCCGTGTCCCAGATCACCGTCCGGACCTGCTTTAGCCCGCCGGCGATCTTCATGGCCGACCAGCCCGACGCGAGCGTGTACTGGTTGCGGAAAGTCGAAACGCCGCTGCAGCTCGTTGGCAGCGGTAGCTTCTTAATCGCCGCATCAGCTGCCCATATTACGTCAGTTGGGTGGTCTTCCTCTAGCAAACCATATACGCAGCTTCAGACATACCGGCGCCCAGAAGGGCCGCTGCACTCGCAGCAATCTTGAACAGATGCATTGTCGAGTATGGAATGAGCTCAGCTTGCTCCAGAACAATTGCTGCACGGTCAGCCTTCTGATCAGGAGTTGATCCCTCAACTGGACCCGAGGAGGCGGATTCAGTCAACGGACTCAGGCAGGAGTGCTATATAATAAGCTACAAGACAGCAACGAGATGGAGGAAATGTCTTGGCACGCCAGGACGGGACGAGTCGAATGCCATTTCCATTTTATCATGCCATCTCACCGAATCATTTGGGAATCACCTATAGAACGGATTCTGCGGTGCCGTCGGCGGGTGGCAAACCACTTTGTCGGGTAGCAGAAACGCTGATATGAATTCCAATCTAAATTTCTCCAGGCTGTTCGGCAGTAATGCTCCGCAGCAGCACCTAGAATAAAACGGGGACCGGCAAAGTTTAGCGGGCTCACCACATATAGTCTCCGAATGCCGCTGTCATGCGGGGATGATCCCGGTCTTGGTCCCAACCTCGATAACAGGTTATATTAATGACACTTCTTCTTCGGCGGCGGCTTTCCTCCAAAAATGTGTTACTACTCTCTGGCCTGACATTCGCAGAAGATCTGACTAAGGTGCGTACGTAAGAAACATCTGAAATACGGTTCCATTCTACTCATAGTTCGTCTACGAAATTCCGGTCCCGGATGGGACGCTTTCATATCGCAGAAATGGCAAAGGAAATGATGGTGCATAGTAGCCTGCGAGCCAATCACGTAAGATCGCGCACGAGTCTCCTCATCCACACTAGATCTCGGTTCGACGCGAGAGAATATGTAGGGGCTCAAGGGGCTGTATAACGGTACTATAGTAATACCCATTTGAAAATAGCCTTAGCATAGTTAGTACCCACATATAATGGAGCGTATCGAATCCAAATAATATACCACACGACATTCGGGTGCCGAGGTCTTCCTAATATATCATTATGGCTAACTCATTGCGGTGCTTAACCTGATATGAATAACGTCAAGTTTTGGTATCAGCTGCTAACGTACTTCAGCATCTTGAAGACGGTAGCTCAGAGTGTTGGGCAAGTCACCTGGTCAGGTACCTTGCTCTCAATCATTGAAGCACCACCAAAAGTCTCACACTTGGGAAGAAACCCTTAAAGGCGCGACGAGTTATCTCGAGTGCAGAACCATCATTCGCAAAAGAAAGCACCTATGCCAGAACTAGCTCGTTTATATCACTTGAGAGAATTTCTCAAAGCTCACATACATACGTAGCTAAGGTGCCATGATATAAAGTGACTTTGTTAAAGCAAGGAAAAAGAGACCCTTAAGAGAGGGCGAGGAAGCATGTGAAGATCATACTATGGCACCTGTACTAAATACAAAGTGGTCAAGGCCCGGTACCTATAATGCTAATTGCACGGTGGAAGATGCTCGCACAAAACGATCACCTGCGACCAAAAATAACCATTCAGTGTCACTTGTAGGATTCGAACCTACGCTCCCGCAGGAACTGCCTAGCTAATTATTCACTAGCAAGGCAGCGCGTTAACCACTCCGCCAAAGTGAATTCGGTGATAGATGTCGCCACAATCTACCGCTCAATGCACTGGCTAGAACGTACAGTGTTCGAATGTCACCGTGATTTTGTGCCCACTAGCGATACTTGCAAGAACGAAGAGCCGTTTAGCTAAGGCTTTATTATCGCACATTCGCTATTTGTGGGCTTAGCCTCGTGAGGCTTCTTTCCTGTTAAGACGCCATGCTCGAGTGTACACTCCAACCCTGGTAAGTTTGTTAGTTTGGTACCTCCAAGTCTCAAGCGATAGAGCTAGTAAGGGGCTGGAGCTAATTGGATTATCTGAACATTATTAGGGACCAGGGCGAGAGAAAACAGAACTGGAGACATTGCTGCTGCTTTCTGCGCTGACCTTTCTATTTTGGTGTAAATGTTAAGGGAGGACCTTGAGCAATCGGACCCTCTGGTTGGCTGACACATGGATGAGTGTGTGAGAAAAGGCAGGAAGTGGGGGAAAGAACCAAACTAACAAACTTTCCAGGGTGTGTATTGTAGAGAAAGAAATGCTGAACTAACGCTCTAACTATATTAAAAACATTTTCAAGATCTGTCACAGGTGGTGTGGGGCTCCCAGGAAGCCCCCCTGACCGCTTGCTAATCTTCCCCTTTCCTGTATATATAAGCTCCCCCTCGCTCCCTCTTTTCTAGACAATACAAGGCACTCTTCATCACTTTTTAAGTTCCCATTCCTGCGCCACAAGATCGCTAAAAGAACCTTTTTTAGGTCCCCTAGACCTAATCCCCTCTCCGAATAACTTTGCTACTATGAAGCCGGCCCCTATAGCTCCTACTGCCAACGAACCCAGCATCAGGAGGAAAAATCCTCGGCAATGACCGCGAGGTCGATGATCGCATGATCTAGTTCCTGTATGATATACACCCCTTTTAGCGTCTGGAAACGAGCCCGAGGGCATAAAAACGACGTGCAGGGGCATTAGAAACTGAGACTTACTCGTCGCGCCGTGTCGGGTGGGGGCTGTTGCGAGCTGCTCGCGGCATTAACACGCAGCGGATTCTGCGTTTCTTGGGTGGCAGTAGTGGTGGTGGTAGTGGTGGTGGTGGTAGTAGTAGTAGGTTCCGTGGTAGGTAGGAGGGGCGGGGGCGGAGCCCCCGAGCGAAAGCTTATGGTAAAAATTGACTTCATTGAAATGACACAAGCCAGCAATCTAATCGACAGGGCATGGATCTTAACGGCGAGGGACGCGGTGATAGACGATGGCGATTGAGGTGAAAATGGGTGGCGATAGAGGATAGTGAGCGACGGTGACTATAAGAGGGACAGTGATGTTGCACGAGGATTGGCGTTGATAGACAGCAGTGCTGCAAAGATGATAAATAGGCTGGTAAGTGAGGGCGCGCCTTATTGCTGTTTGTATTGATATGGACCTGGAGAGAGAAATTCCTAAATTTTACGAGTGTCAACGTTCTAAGCTCTCCCCATCTACTTCTCTCTCCTCCCCTAAAGATCTCATTCCCTCTGCTTCCTAAAGACCTCCTTCCATTTCCTTTCCTAAGCGGGAAACGCCTCGTTAAGCTAACCCCACAGCAGGAGGAAAGAGCAATCCAAACTCTGATCGGGGCTTTTCAACCAGCCGTTCGCCCCGGACTTCTACACGATCAGATGCTTCAAGTTTATGTCTACATCCACGATGACACATAAGAGTAATCTCATTGTGGGCTTCAGGACGTTAATGGCTTCTAGCGTACGGAAGGAGCGTCCTGCTACCAACGGTCGGTCAGGCACGCATGCTAGATTTTGCGTCTGTGCTTGATCTCGATTCATCCAATGCTGATTTAGACTTTTTCCCGTTCTTTCTTCATTACATCTTGCTCGACGTTTCCATTTCAATAGACAGCGACGTATTTAAAAGGCAAGTCCGTCTCGCCTCAACCCCACCTCTAAGCCTTGAGGCAATAATACAATAGCGCGGGTCGAGACTTCATTTGTCATCGACGAGACGATTGAGTTAAAGCACCCATTACCTGGCCACCCCCACTAGGTAGTTAGCCACTTCTTCTTCCAGCTACGTGTCGTCTCTGGATCACAGACTAAGATTCTGCAGGTGGTGCACTGAGCCTGGGCCTGTGCTCACGTATGCGCCTGTGGGTCGCGAAGATTGTCTGCAGAATTGATCGGCCACAGTTTCAGCTCAGTTGTGCTACGTAAACACGGAAGTCATGGGGCGTCCTCCAAGCCTTCTTTTTTCTGACCCTGCGGCTCCGGTACGGAGGTCCTGCCATGGAAAAAGCCCACGGGCAACTCAAATGTAGAATCAAGTTCTCTAACGTGTTTCACGCTCCAGCCCACTACGTCGTGGCCCCAGTTGAACTGGGCGAACTCAAGCTGCGTTTCTGGCCCTGTTAGAAAGCAACGCGCCAAGTCATCAGACGTGGGAACTCACTTGGGACGACATCAATGTACTTCTCAACCTCCTTATAGATCAGTTCCATCTGCTCATGGCCTGCGTTGCTGAGGACCTGAATTGTGCTTGCTCGGGCTTTCCTGATTTTCTCGAACAGACGGAGTCTCTCCTGGACGTCGCCAGGTGTGATCCCGCAGAGAGAAATGCCTAGAGCGATGCCGTCTTCAATGCCTTGTGCGCCGCCCTGGCCCTGATCTGCCACGATGAGAATGGGCGTTGGAGAGATTCGGGATCTTGTAGGATGACTCACGGGGTAGCATGGGATGTGCGGCGTCCCCAAGAATAACCATTCTTCCTTTTGTCCAGGTCGAAACCGGCGCGCGGTACAACAGCGGCCAGCGTTTCACCTCGGTTGCTTTGCTAGTGTTCATCAGTCGCGCTCGAGTGCTCGAAGAGCGGGAAGGCATCCATTACCTCAAGACAGCACGTAGGTCAGGATGAAAGTCCTCGAATGCACTAAGCAGGTCTGACTTATCGACCGGAGCATGCCAGTCTGGCCCTTAGTCAGCTACATGTACCTGCTACAGTATTTCCTCCCTTAGAGTGAGTAGCATACCTTCCTTCGTGGCCGCTGTCAGTTGCTCACTGTGAAACATAGCGACAAAATTCCATACTTCGTTGCTGAACAATGCCATGACATATGTAAACATGGACCCCCGACACGTGTTTGCGGGAAGACTCCGCGTGACGGAGCGAGGATGAGGAGAGGGCTTACTTTCGACACGGGTACGACACCAATCTATTGCCCACTTTGCCATTCATGTATATGCTCATGATCCCTTCCCTGTCTCTATTCCACCATCTCGTGGCGCAATCAGCCTCGAGGTCAGCAGCCGGGATGAGAAACCTGAAACATGCGTTGTAAATTTCCTGCGGCTGTGGCGGGTTTGGCTGCCCCAAAATTGTCTCCACGGCGATGGAATGAATTCCATCTGCAGCAATGACAACATCGCCCTTGATCACCTCGCCAGACGAAAGTGTGATTGAAGGAGCATCTGGGTCCTAGTCTATTGTCAGTGGGCTCGCTCCGTCTCTGGTCTCAGATCCGCATCATGTACATAACCAGTTATCCTTCTCTTCAAGTGCACAATAACGGGCTCGCCCAGCCCCTTCTTCCCCGTCGCCAGAAGCTTCAATGCGTCATGCAAGTCCACCCGGTGGGCGAAGTAGAACGGCGCGCCGTACACGCCGTCAACCCAGTTCCCAATAGGCGTGAAGCTGACCTGTTCCTTAGTGGCCCCGACACCCATAACTACACCCTGAGCCCGGACAAACCGGCCTGCATTGGGGTCGAGACCCCATGCCAATAGCGGGCGGGAGGCATTCGGTGGCACATTGATCGCAGCGCCGACTTCGTCGTTGAGCGACGAGCGCTCATAGATCTGTACGCGGTGACCCGCCCGGCGCAGCGAAACGGCAGCGGAGAGTCCGGCAATACCAGCTCCGACAATAATCACGTCGAGCATCGTATTAATTGCGAGACCTTGTAACAGGCAGCTGATACCGCATGTAAGTCGGATGGAAGGTGGAGGAGGAGCACAATGCTGCCGCTCTTACGGTTCAAGTTGTGTGCGCGGCTAGACACTGCTGGTCGCGCGGCCACTGCAGTGGAAACACCCACCAGCTTTCGATTGCTCTTGGAGTGGGATAGGGAGGGTTGAACTCGACCGACCAACCAACCGTCTGAGCACATATCGCCAGAGCAGACGCAGCGAGGACCCCGGTTCCAACCAACATGCCCACAAAAGCATGAACAAAATTGTGCAAAAGGTAGAGTGCTAGTCCCAACTCACACGGGTGGTATTCGCATCCTCGAGAACGGCCCCTGAGGTAGGATGGCTTCATGCCGTAGCTTCCTAGGGTCCCCTGTCGAAGATCGAGTACGGGCTGAATCCGCATCGGTTGCTAAGGCCGATTTGCCAATCGGAAACCCACACTGGAGCCTGTGCCACAGGGCTGCATCGGCCCAATAAGTTTGGAAATGGCTTGATGGCCAACACAACACGCGTCTCGCTGGGGTCCTGAGATGAAGGTGTGAGTTCAAGCGGAAAGCTCTCAATCGAGCAACTCACACCGTGACCGATAACCGGGGCTTTGGCAGTGCAAGAGATTCGGCCTGCTGAGGCCTTAACGATGGATACTGGTACATACTGACTGTGGCAGGTATATACTCTACCTAGGTACTGACAACAGTGCTGTCTATTGCCCTGCACTGTATGTACACGCCATGGCCAATCGCCCCCAGTGGGAGTCGCTGCTGCCACCCACAGTGGCTACCGGCGATCTCGGGTTCAAATTGCCTTAGCGTGCGGTTGCACCCCAGAGTGCTAGCTTAGCAGCATGCCTACCTAGTTATTATGCTTAAGATAGATCGCTAACGGGCGCACTCAAGGACCAAGATGATTAACCTAGGTAGGTATGTACTGTGTTGGAACTTGGAACAGAACCGGCCCGTTTGCACGGAAACTGTACGGTTTCCAAACATCTTTCCCGCATTGCAACCGCCACCAAGGCCCCCCGTCGGCCCCGCCGGGGCCACTTCCCCGGCCGCGCACTCATTTCAACCCT